GCCGGCGGCGGCCGGGACCGTTGGGGGCGGGGGGTGTGGCCTTATGACACACTTCCGGTGATGTCAGGGGGTGTGGCCTTATGACACACTTCCGGTGATGTCAGGGGGTGTGGCATATGCTAATGAGTTATGCTAATGAGTTCCCCTAGCTCTTTTTCTATGAAATGACCCCTGGGCCTAAGGATCTCTGACAAAACCTTTCTTGCTATTCCCACAGTATGAAAGGAAGTGAAAGACCCAGGCTTCCTTTAGCCAAAGGCCTATGTTGATGCATGTTTGGAAATTCCCTGTAGATATCACATCTAGAAGCCTGCAGTCATTTTGGATGCCACTTTCACTGGCTTGTGTCACCCACTGGCGAGGCATCCTGACCCACTGGCGAGGCATCCTGAGCTGCCACTTTGCATGTTCCCCTCATGTCCAGACATGCTGGGCCATAAGGGACTGAGTGGCACCACGGGTGGGCATTCTTCACCTCCAAATGTCCAGTTGAGAGAGATGAGTGGGCAGGTGTTCCCTAGACTCTTTTATCCTCAGCTGAGTTTTGATATAGTTTTCTCTCCACTGGGAGAAAACTGATCAAGGGGAGGAGAAAGTTACAGGGAGGCAAGTGGCGGGAGAATGGAAGTTTCAGTTCCCCTCGCCTTTGAGCCCTTTTTGCTCTGGCACCCACCCCACCGCACTTTATTTGTGATGGGGCAGATCTGGGTTTAAGCAACCTGCTGCTACCACATCTAACGTTTAGCCCTGAGGTTCACTTGTATCCTTACAAGGAACAAAAGCCCCTTGCTTAGCTTCATAACCAATCATGCTCTCTGTCCAGGCAAGAGTTTTGGTTCCAGATTTGCTGCATCTAAATTGTGTTCCTTTGAAAACTGAGCAAACTGGGAAGTTCTGTTGGAAGGCCTGCCATTTTTGGTGCCTGATGTTGGAACAAGAATGGATACTTCTGTGGACTTTGGTACTTTGTAGGCCAAAATCTCTCCAAACGGTTTAGGATAGCACACTTTACTTCTAACTGGAAGGAGAACCTGAAGTACATTGGCAGATATATAGGCACAGGACTCAGGTACACATGACGATTTCTTCCATTAATAATTTAAATTATGTTCCGGTGTGCATGTTTTGTAAGTTTAGCTTATGGGGCTGCATAATCAAGGAGAAAGGGGGGGGGATGGAAACTTTAACCTTTTCTTCCTTGGTTTTCTCACTAGAAAAAGCCACACACACACACAACTTGTTGTTTGCCCTGTTGGGAAAAATTTACAGGCACCCTTAAGTTGCATAAATGCATACTTTTGTATTTAGTCATGTGCACATGCATACATGCACCAACATACACCAGCATATATACAGATTATGTACCCTTTGAGGGAAGATTAAAATTAGTTCAAGTGTTGAATGTGAGCATATGGGGACAATATGACATATTACGCACAATGTATCTGAAGAAGGGTACATGCACATAAAAGCTTATATCCAGAATTAAATTTTGTTGGTTTTCAAGGTCCCCCTGGACTCAAACTTTGTTCTGTTGCTTCAGACCAGCACAGCTATCCCCCCCCCTGAACCCACATTTCCTGTTTGTGACTTGGCTAATATGGTGCTTTCCGTTATTTGTTAAGAAATATTTTGCACACGCAGGCATCTGTTGGTGTCAAGAGAAAAGCGGAGATTTATTTGAGACTTCTTGTTTGGTTTCCAGCGGTCAGTAAAGAACTAACCACGGCACTGATGCTTCTGGGAAAGAAACAATTATTTGAAAGACTTAATGTAGAATAATGGAAAGTAGCAATGGAGGTATTGGTGCGCCTTCTGATCAGCCTTGTGGAACTATTGATGGGACACACCAACAGCAGCTTGGAGGAATTACTAGGGAAGTTTGTTTGGGGGATCCTATCTTCTAAGTCGGTCTTTCACTGGGAAGCGCTCACATATCCATTCTCCATCAGTTCCTTGGGAGTGAGTAAAAATAACAACATTTAGTTACTCTGGCTACTCGGCAGTACAGTTCATAAGTATTTAAATCAACAGGAAATATAAAAGTCCATGGGTTGGATCAAAACCAGCTTTCCTTCTGGTGAAAAAGGGAGGAGGAGCCCCCTTTGACCACCTGAAATGGCTGTGCTAAATATCATGGGACCTTCATGAACAAAAGCCATTTGGGATGGTGGCAGTATTGAGGAGTGAAGCAAGACTGAGTGAAAATGCTGAATGGATCCAACCCCATACTCACAAAATATTTGTACATTCTAAACATCTACCAATACCTACCAGTTTGCTTTTTTAGATTTTGAATGCTACAGTAGTTGGGAGAACAAAGGGTGAGCATTTGACTTAGGTCTTATCTTTGGTGGCTGACTAACTGTTTGGAGGTTTGCTAAAATAGGTTGTGGTATGCAGTCTTCTGATTTACAACCCAGATCACCAGTTTTCCACAAGTGGTCCTCACTTGTGTGATCATGGTGTCCCACTTATTCCCACCACCGAACTATATACACACTATTGTTGCAGAAAACAGATGAAGTTGGGGAAAGAAACCCAAAATGTGGTAGTGTGGTAGTGTTCTGGAAGAACTTCCCAAATCCCAAGAGCTTAAGCCAATCACAGTTAGTCTCATTAAAAAATAGCTTAGTTGTGAATCTCGGAGTGCAAAAGAAAAATCTCATTTCAAAACCAAACAGAAATCATATGGCACCTCAAAGACTAACAAGGGCCCAGGTCACACGGGCAGGAAAATGCAGTGAGGAAGCGTGGCTGTTTGCCCCGGTGCAAAATAACGTGCGGTTGCGCGATCAGACGTCCCCTCGAGGTCCCGTCAAGGTCCCGTGGTTAGGGGGGAGGTGCTGATCACACCACAATCCTGCGGTGCGGCAAAGAAGCGGCCTCTCCAGCAAAAGGCTCTGCGGGTTTAACCCCTTCCAGGGCTGCAGAGGAATGCAAACGCCCCCCTGCACCTCCCCCTCTGCCGCTCGGTGCAGAGAGTTCCTTTCGAGCAGGCTGAGCCAGGAGTGGGGGGGGTACGGAAAAGAGGAGGGGGCTCTGCGTGCGCTTGTGTGTCCGAGGAGGGGGGGAGGGAGAACAGGGAAGGCTCCAGATGAGCAACAGCCAGGAGAAGCGGTGCAGCAGCCGGAAAGCCCTCCGTCTCCTTAGAAGTAAGCCGTGCACTGCGGGAGGGAGGGAGCATCGTGCCAAGCCGTGGCCGTCCTAGGGTGGCCACCAATGTGCCCTCTAAGCTGCAGAGTCTTGGGAGCAAAAATCCTACTTAGTGAGCTCCTGGCATTAAAGTGGTGAGCGAGCCATTTGCTGCTGCATCAATTAGTTGCCTCTGGAGCTGGAGGCTAAGAAACCGTGAGCAGCGCGACAAACGTGGATGTGTTTGAAGTGTGCGCATGCTCCGTTGGGTGCTTGTGCGCATCCCATGGAGACTTGGGGAAAAAAACCTTTTTCCAAGGGGACATGGGCGGGTGCCGGATGCCACCGGAAACGCGATCAGACGCCCGCCTTTGCCCCGCGGTTTCCGGAAACTAATACCTCGGAGGTACTAGTTTTTTACCCCGCATCTTCGGCGGGAAGCCTCGGGTGAGCCACGGGAGCTCTACACTTCCCAGATGTGGCGCTGTGATCGCGCCCGGAAAATCCGCCTATCTTCCGTCTCTCTAGCGTGGCTAATGCTCCGTGTGACCAGGGCCAAGGTTTTATTTTGGCATCAGCTTTTGAGAGTCCACAAAAGATTATATGGAAATAAAATATTTTAAAGGGGGCACCAGACTTGTGTTTATTCTTTAGCTGCAACAGACCAACCTCTGGAATTATCATGTCAAAACCAGGCTCTTGAGCTGGTATCACAAAACCAGAAGAGCCAGCGAACTGCTGTCCTTATGCAATTTTGAAAGTATCATTAGATAAGCGTACGTAGCAGAAGTCCATCAGTGGCTATTAGCCACAAGGTATAGATAGGGACTCTCAGTCTGGGGCAAGTGATGCACTGTATTCTTGGTGCTTGGGGGGGGGGGCAACAGTGGGAGGGCTTCTAGTGTCCTGGTCCCACTGCTGGACCTCCTGATGGCAACTGGTATTTTTGGCCACTGTGGGACAGAGTGTTGGACTAGATGGGCCATTGGCCTGATCCAGCATTGGCTTATTTTATGTTCTTATGTTCTTATTGGTTAATCCTCCCTCTGCTCGTTACCAACTTCCTGCTTCTTGCCTTTGCATTGGTCCGTTCTGTTTTTCCTGTTGCTATCCAAACCTGTTCTCAGCTACTTGGACCTTTTTCTAATCCTCCTTTGAGTATTCCAGGCCCCGAACTATCCTTCTTACAGCAGTATGAGCTTTCAGTTGGTGTTACTTGCTTATATCAGAGTACAACCCAAAGGTAAGCCCTACAGAGGTTGTTGCTTCTCATCTACATTCTACCTTACATTAACAGCACGGGAATGAGGTGGAACTCAGATCGTTTTAGTTTCAGCATGTGTCAGCCATTAAAAGCTATAAAGCTATGTGGGGGGGGGGTTGGTCCAATAAATGCTTCCCCTTGCTTGTGCACCTTCCTTAAGCATTGCACTTTTATTGTCTTCTCTGGGTACTTAAAAAAGCGATGCAGTGCACTTGCAAAAATGGAATACTTCCCCTACTTAGCATTTTGTTTATAATGGGGTGCTTTGAGTGTCATTCAGCAGTTGGGTGTTGTTTGTGATGTACATGCCAGTGAGCAACACAACACCTCTGTCTTTCCCTCATGCCCATGCTAGTTTGAGAGCCCATGGTCCCGCTGGCATTGTCCCTTCTGTGCAGAAATGCACTTTTAATCCATTCTGAAGCAAAGTAAAGGAACTCTGTGACTGTTCCCCACCTAGGGATACCAGACCCCTTGATGGGGGCAGGGGTCCCCCACTGCCAGGTCCTACCTCTCTGCTGCCAATCAGCTGGCCAGCAGGGGGAACTACCCCCAAAACAAAGGAGGAACACCTAACATTTCAGCAACATAGGCATGTCAGGGCAACACTCTGATTTTTGGGCAAAAGCTCTATGGTAGAAGATAATTCTACCATAGAGTTTTTGCCCCCAAACCAGATCATACTCCCAATGCCCCCAGTGTGCCTACATCACTTTCAGGGCACATTAGAAGTCATGTGGGCAGATCGCTGAAACATGCAAAGAAACTCCCAGCTCCAAGTAAGCTCACCCCCCTTCTTCCACCGGCTGGCCACAGGGACCTGGCAACCCTACGCCCACCCAATTTACTATATGCCGATGAGATATTGTGCTATTACTAAACAGCCAATTGAGGGCAGATTATACATTAGATCAACTGTGTTTGTGCCAAGTTCTCTATGACTAACAGTGCAATCCTACTCAGAGTTGCACCTTTCTAAGCCCACTGAAGTCCATGGCCTTAAAAGGGTATAACTTTGTTCAGGATTACACTGTAAATGCCCTGCTTGTATTAAATACCGTGGCTATCCTGACATTGGTGTTGTTTCATCAGCCCTCCACCAGCTTAAGGGGACTTCTTATAATTTAAGTGGTTCATCAGAAGAAGAGCCACTGAAGTTGAAGGAAGGCTTCTAGGCTGGAGGGACGCTTCATCCATTGCTCAGTGAAGTGGTAGGATAGGGGCAGGATCCAGCTGATTTTCTACCACTTGAACATATTATTTATTTATTTATTTATTATTTTGATTTATACTCCGCCATCACCACAAGCAGGCTCAGGGTGTAAGAACATAAGAGAAACCAATGGCCCATCCAGTCCAACACTCTGTGTCACACAGTGGCCAAAACCCAGGTGCCATCAGGAGGTCCACCAGCAGGGCTAGAACTCCAGAAGCCCCCCCCCACTGTGGGCCCCCAAGCCCCAAGAATACAGAGCATCAGTGCCCCAGACAGAATGTTCCACCTATACCTTGTGGTTAATAGCCACAGGTGGACCTCTGTTCCATAAGTTTATCCAATCCTCTCTTGAGGCTGTCTATGCTTGTAGCCACCACCACTTCCTGCAGCAGTGAATTCCACATGCTAATAACTCTTTGGGTGAAGAAGGACTTCTTTTTTATCTGTTCACTTGAGCCTCTTGGGATTTCACTTCAGAGTTCCAAGGCCTAACTCTGCATCCTAGCATCCCCCTTGCCTATGCATGTGACACAGTGACGAAGTCCCACAGGTTTTCACCTCTTTCTCAAGGGCTAGGATCAAGGGCTAGAAGAAAAGGCAGTCCTCACCTCATGCACTCCCTTCTTGAGGCCTAGTGGTGCCCATGGCCTGCATGGTATGAATGCCCCGCAGAATGTGTCACATAAGTGTGAGCTGTCCGAACCTCTCCGGATCTTCCACTCGACCCACTGCCGGCTCTAGTAACTCCTGCTCCACTTCCTCCTCCTCTGTAAGAAGAAGGGAGAATTCTGATCAATGAGGTCGCAAATCCCTTGAAAAGCTAAGTTCACAACTTGGGAATGCTGCTGGACACAGCAGTCACCTTAGAAAACCAGGTGGCTGCTGTGGCTCAGAGTGTGTTTGCCCAGCTCTGGCTGGTGCGTCAGCTGTGCCCATTCCTGGCTCAATCAGATCTAGCCACAGTGTTCAATGCCTTAGTTACATCTAGACTGCATTACTGCAATGCAGTCTACCTGGGGCTTCCCTTGAAGAGTGCTTGATAGCTGCAGCTAGTGCAGAATGCTGCAGCTAGATGGGGCCAGCTACTGGTAGCATATGACCCTGATACTACAGTAATTACACTGGTTACTGATTCACTCCCGAGTCCAGTTCAAGGTGCTGGTTTCTTCCTTTAAAGCCCTAAAACCTTGGAGCCAGGTTATCTGAAGGACTGTCTTTTCCCAAATGTCCTTGCCCAGGAATTAAGATCACAGGGAGAAACCCTATGGGCTCTTTTTGTATCAGGAACTCCTTTGCATATTAGGCGACACACCTCTAATGTAGCCAGTCCTCCAAGAGCTTACAGTAGCCCCTGTAAGAAGAGCTCTGTAAGCTCTTGAAGGATTGGCTACATTAGGGGTGTGTCACCTAATATGCAAAGGAGTTCCTGCTACAAAAAGAGCTAGTCTGGTGGGTACATGAGAGAGTGCCTTTTCGGTGGCAGCCCCACGATTATGGAGCAACCTCCCCAGGGAGGTATGTCTGGCCCCCTCAGTGCTGATTTTTAGGAAGCACCTGAAGAGAGTTTTATTTAGGACTGCTTTTGACTGATACATTTTTTTAATTGATTGGCAGTCCTCACTGGCAATTGTGACATTTTATGGGTTTTTTTTAATAATTATTGTGTTATTTATATTTTTATTTATACTGTGAGCCACCTTTGAATTTTGCAAGGGGGAAAGGCAGCCAATAAACATTTTAAATAAATAAATTCCTAGAAAGTAGCATTTTTGAGTCACAGAACTCCAGCTTGGCCAATTGGTCATCAGCTCGCCTTGATACCCAGTCTGTGCAGTCCATTGATAGCTGGGGGAAATTAGGGACACAAGAATCATACGCTCTTCTTGGTACCTGCTAAAAGAGATGGTCTAGTGCTGCAGTCACACACACTAAATAATCCACTTTCAATCCACTTTCAGTGCACTTGCCAACTGGACTTTTACTGTGTGAACTGGCAAAATCCAGTTGGAAAGTGCATTGAAAGTGGATTATTTAGTGTGTGTGACCGCAGCCCAGATCTACTGCTGATTCATTTTATGGCTAGCTCTGCCTCCTGCAGCAGCCATTTCCTGGCAACCGTTTTGTGGCTGTGGCGGAATTCCAAAGGTGCCTGCAGGCTCAAACAGGTTGGGGACCCCTGTTCTAGTTAATGTGTGTTCTCTGGCACACTGAAGCCCCACTGTCCCTGCATGCTACCCACACAATGTCGTGCTGCCCGCCTTCCAACAGGCAGCGGTAGGTGGCAATCTCCTGCTCCAGCCGGCTTTTGACGTCAAGGAGCTCCGTGTATTCCTGGTTCTGGCACTCCATCTCGGCCCGGAGCTCCGCCAGCTGCTGCTCCAGGATGGAGATGCGATCCTGAAGCTCAGCCAAGTGGCTGTTGTAGCGATGCTCCGTTTCGCCCAGCGAGGCTTCCAGGGTATCCCTCTGCAAAGTCAAACAGAGCACGGTTTCTGTGTTATAGCAGTAACCTTCCACTCGGAACACTAAGACTGTGGAAACAGGCAAAAGGATCTCAGAGAAGACACCAGAAAGAAAGTCCAACTCCAGGAGTTCTCTAACTGTGGGGTCAGGATCCCAGAGTGGGTTGCTACTGTCTCACAGGCTGGTCACAGGGCCAATGGGGCAGACTGGTCATTAA